CGCTTCTGGTATACAGTGCAGGGAATATTATAGGGCGGTAGCTACCGCGTTTTCCTTAGTCTTTAAGTCTAGTATTAATATACTTCTAGCCGAGGGTATAAAGGTCTTCGGGTATAACTACTTAGTTATCTATAAGGCGTCCCTCGGCCTTAGTCTAATCGCGGCCGGTATAAGGACGTATGCCTCTAAAGAAATCTATAACCTATATATACGTAGCGGGCTTTAAACCGGTATCTTTATAGCTTTATAGTAGTAGCTGCCACTTATCTAACTACTCCCCGAGCTTCTTAAGGCTATTCGCAGGGTACCGTGCGTGCTCGATATACTCTTTATAGGTATCGGTTTAGCGGGTAGCTAAGTACTAATCCGTATCGCGTTTAATAGCATCGTATACCTCGCGACGCGTGCCTCCTTATAGCAGGTATCTATGGCTTTAGTCGATAGTATTAACCTGCTAGGTCAGTATAGCGTTAATCCCTTTTAAGTAGCTATCGTATTATATTTATAGAATCTTCCAGCGCGCGATTTCGATATCGTACGCTTTCTGGCTAGTGTCCGTAAGGTCGAGATATTACGTAGGGGTATGCCTAAGCGTTATAGAGGGGAAAGAGTCGTAATTCGGTATTATAGGCTCCTCGGATGACTAAGTCGGATTGACTAGGCGGAGAAACCTCTACACGTTATTATAGATGGTAACTAATTCGTATAGGCGTTGCCAGAGCTCCTAATCCTTATAGGTTTTATACGTAACAGGGCTAAGATACGATATCTTAATAGTTATTTATAGATTAACACGCTATATCGGCGCAGCTAGATAGCTTCTTAAATCGGTAGTAGTAATAGAGGTAAAAAGGTAGGTAGTTTACTTAGTAAGTAAGACTCTTAATTATCTAATAAAGCGTAGTTAAAATCGTCACAAAATAGGTCAAAATTTAATTAAGGCAATTATATACAATTATAACTATCTCAGACCGTCAGGGAAATGCTGCCACCGTATTTTATATAGTGTAGATTCTGTAAGCGTCCACCCGGATTATATTCTTAGCAATCCGGCCTATTACATAACCGAAAAGACTATAGTCTATTCGACAACCGTAACGCCGCTAGGTAGTTTACTAATAACGCCCCTTATACGCTAGCTCGCCGCCAATCCGCCTATATTACTACGGAAGGTTCGCCGATACCCCTAAGCACTTAAACCCGCGTTACCTTCGCTAATACGGCGGAAAACACCGGTATAAGTAATAGCGCCCGGGCTAGTACTAGCGGAGTAACGACTACTAGCCCCCTATAGCCCGCTGGTAATATAGCCAAAGCGGTCGATCTTACTAGCGCGGATATACCGGCCTCCCCCTTATATACTGCCGTAACGCTTAATAAGGAACTCCTAAATAAGCTAAAGGAGTATATACTAGAATACCTCGTAATCTTCGGTAATATCGCGGCTTTTAACTAAAGTAATATAGATAGCCGCGCATTCCTCCGCCTTATCGCTATATTAGCCCACGATACTAGTAGGCGTGCTAGAGATATCTATCTATTCCTTATATAGAAGCGCTATAATAATAAGGCCGACCCCTTAACTATATAAGAGCTTATAGATAACGTGAATAACGCTAGCGCTAGCTCTGCCCCCGCTAAGCGCCGGGCGGAAGACGACGGCGGAGTATTAGCGCCGAAAAGAATAGTAATATTCTATAATTAAGGTATAGCAGGACTTAGCCTGTAATATCGCCCCTAGAGTCCCTAATAGTAACGCGGGGCTTTAATACTACGATCTTATACCGTAAGACGGATAGAGTATTACACTCCTAGGATAGCGGCCCTACGCTATCGGAATACCGGCGGTAACGGCTAGGTTCGCTAAAGACTAAATCGAGAATAATATCTCTAAGGACCCTATATAGAGCGCGGCGGATTAGTAACTACTTATTAAGCTATAGCGCCTCTACGCATTTATCTAGCTAGCTCTAATAAAGGCTAGCGGTAACGACCTTACCCTTACGCGCCGTAAAAGGCTAGCCGACTGCCTAAGGGATAATCGGGAACTAATAGAGAATATCGTAAAGCACTACGCTATCCTTTACCGCTACTACTAGTAAGATAAGGAACGTGGATTATTAATATCCTACGATATCTCCGTTACTAAGCTTACTAAATAGCGCGACGCGATATCGCTAGAGGACGCCGCTAGTATCTACGGTATTAATATAGGGGTGCTCGGGCTACCCTATATAATATTAATAAACCTTAACGACTCTAATATAGTGTATATAATAGACTAATAGTAAAATACCGGGAGATAGCCGGAGACTTAGTTAGTATCAAAATATATAGTCGGTTTTACTTCTTTTTTATAGTCCCCTTTTATTCTATTATACTTAGCGCTATCCTATAGTATTAATAGCGGTCGCCACTAAGGCACCGCACCTCGCTAGCGTTAGGTAATTTTCCTTTATTCTCCCCCTTCTTCACGCCGCCCTAATAGGATACCCACTATAAGTGTATTCTAAGCGGGATATACGGTGCCGGCGTAGAGCCCGCGGGACGTAGAGCTCTCCTGCCCCGGGTATATAATACGCCCCACGGCGTACTATAGGAACCGCCCCTTATAGGGGTATACCGTGAGAACCGCGTTCTACAGAGGTATACCGCGGATACTAGATACTACGGGGGTATACCGTGAGAACTATATTCCACAGGGGTATACCGTAAAACCGATATACCACGGAAGTACCTAGTAGGAACTAGGTATTACCGGGCCACAGTTAGGAAGCCAGAGTATCCCCGGGGTTTCCCTATAGATATATTAATTCGGGGCTTCGCCCCTTAATTAGACGAAGATATCTTTATTACACCTTATATTTTGCAGTAAAGGTTACCCCTTAAGAAAAGCCTGGCTTATAGGCTCTATAGTACTGGCTGGCCAGGGATATACCTAGTCAGGGCATATCACGCTGGCTAGACTGTTATTCCGCGCGTTAATAGCTATTATAGCCCGTTTCAACCTTATGTTATTATAATTCGACGTTATAAACGGGCTTATCCACGCGCCTCTCCCCCACGATATCTTTATATACCCGCTACTAGGCTTTTTAGCCCCTAGGAGCCGTTTATACCTGAAAAAGGCGGTATATAGGCTTAAGAAGTCCTTAATACTATAGTAAAAGCACTTTTTAGCTATTCTTTTAGCGGACAGGTTTTAGATAGTGTTATAGGGACCGTGTTATTTTCTGCGTCGCGGTTTAATCCTGTTTTTCTACGTTAACGATATCGTTATTACTTATAAGGAATAATATAAGGCATAGATAGAGCAGGCTATTAATAACCTATAACGCTACTATAACCTATAAGGTAGCGGTCCTTTATAGTGGTTCCTTAGTATTAAGATTATTCACGACTATACCGCCCGTAAAATCTAGCTATTATAACGCGACTCTATTACTAAGTTAGAATGCCTATTAAAGCGGAATAGTAAGTATAGTAATAACTATCGCCTAACGCACTTAATTAAGGTTACAGAACTACTACCCTAATTAGGGACCTCGACTAATATTAAAAGCTATTAACGGAAGATAGGATCTATACTATCTATAGTAGTGATATCACGGCTAGATATCGCTTTTATAGTATTAAGGCTATACCGCTTTAACGTTAATCCAGGTCGTATATACTATAAGGCCGCTAATTATCAAATCCTTTATCTAATTAATAGCTAATCCTTTATATGAGAACTAAGGGGTAGTAATACTATCGAAATCTATACTTATGTCTGATTTACCGATAATATAATTAATCGTAAGAGTAGTTAAGCGTACGTGATACGGTTATTTAGCGGTATAATCGTGTAGCGCGCTAATAAGCAGGATACGGTTATAACGTTAATAATAGAAGCAGAGCTATTAGTATTAGTATAAGGTATAAAAAAGGGTATCTTTATATAATACCTATTACTTAGTATAGAAGTAGAAGTTAATAATCCTGAATTAAGGATCCTATATACTAATAACTAAATAATTCGGTTAGTTAATTAAGAGATTAGCACGTTAATAATACGCCTTCGCTATATTAATATCCACGGCTAATAGTTACGTTAAGTTAAGTAAGAAGGGTAAATACTTATAATATACGTTACGAGCGCGGAAATAGTAGTAGACGGATTAACAAAGGCGTTATACGGCGAGAAATTTAAGATATTTAGGTCCTAGGTAGGAGTAATAGATATACGGGAACAGCTATAGTAAAAATAGCTAGAGGAAGTCCGGATAGAATATTTAGAGGACCTAAAGGATAAATTTAAGGGCGGCTATAGCGAAGAGATTATATAGATTATATACCTATTATATCTGCCCGTTACGAATAGCTTTAATCCCCTAACTAATATTTAGGGCGATTAGGGGGTATATCGAATAAACTATAGTCTTTTCGATTACGTAACGGGCCGAATTGCGAAGAGTATTATCCGGGTAGACGCTTACAGAATCTATACTATATAAAATATGGTAGTAGCAATTCCCTAACAGTCCTCACATAGTTATAATAGTATATAATTACCTTAATTAATCTTAACCTATTTTGTGACGATTTCGACTATGCTTTATCTGACAGATACCGGAAAAGACCGGATAGGATCCAAATAATATAGTACCTATAATAGAGTCTTCATCACCTAAAGTAAGGGTAAAAAGACTTACACAGATATAAGTTAATATAAATACACACACACGAGATTTCTGGTCCATTAAGTTTAATTATATAAGTGCTATTTTGACGTGCGATAACAGCGTGCAATAGTTCCAGTTACGCTGTATCTAACAGGATTTACGAAGTTCATGAAATTGTCGAACGGGCTAAATTGCATGACTAATTCCGTGTCGAACAGGGCTAGACGGCTGGTAACCGGAGCCAACCTTGATAGCAAAATAATAACCGATCTTCTTTAATACTTCTTGGGAAATGGTGAATCCCAGAAACACCCCCCCTTCTTTTCCCTCCACCCCCCTAATTCCTTGGAGCCCTGATCATTCGCAACAATCAAGGCTTATTCTTCCAATGAAGGGGCGTTTGCCTGGTTCGGACGAGGATGGCGACGAAGTTACTTTGTCGGGTGTTGGGAAATCTCGAACCGACCAACGGCAACCTCGCCCAAAGGACGTTGTCGATGCGCGTTCCAACCCTAATACGACCGCGTCCCCAGACCAGAGAAGCAAGCAACGTCCCGCTTTAGAACCCTCACCAGCAAGAAGCGGCAATTCCATCCGTTTCAATTGGGTGACACCACATGCACGAGAGTTGCCGACAGAGAAGAAGCCTGAGGCCTTCTACCTACAACAACCCACAGCGTCAACAGCACCGGCAGCGACCCTCTCGGACCATTTGCATGACAAGCAAGGCAACGGAGACGAGCGTTGTGACGGCCCGATGGTTCCCGACGAAATAACCAGTGAACGATACTCCATTCAGCGATCGCGCTCTCATGGGAGACCCTATTCAATACCTCTACTCGTACTTGTCACCTCTCTCCTCGGCATATCCTTGCTCTGCACCATCCTGAACTCATCTTGGACCCGTCAAATCGATTATAAAGGCTGTCGGATGTCTTACATGCGACCCTCATACACCCGATTACGGGAGTTTGACACGGAGCATACTCGTTTCGCGACAAAATATTCACTCTATTTGTATCGCGAACAAGGCATCGACGATGAACAGAAAGTAGCTTTCTCCCCACCACATGTTGCCCTCCCACCGCTGGGGACCTTCTCTCCTTTCTCTGCTCCTTGTCATTTCTACTCGTCACGCAATGTCTGACTGTCTCGCGTCTAGCTTCGAGGTGTGCCTGTCTTATTCATCCCAGGCAACGCTGGCAGTTATAGGCAAGTGCGGCCAATTGCTGCCGAGGCGGCCAACTATTTTCAGGAGACCCTACGCGGCGGCCAAGACACCGTCAGCGACCAGCACAACCTTGACTTCTTTACCGTGGACTTCAATGAAGACATCACCGCGTTTCATGGCCAGACGCTGTTAGACCAGGCGGAATACCTCAACGAAGCGATACGATATATACTGTCACTTTACATGGACCCCCGCGTGTCTGCCCGGGATGCACACCTTCCCGACCCGTCCTCCGTCTTGATTCTGGGTCATTCTATGGGAGGGATAGTGGCCCGCACCATGTTAACCATGTCCAACTATCAGTCCAACTCTATTAACACGATTATCACCATGTCCACACCTCATGCCCGTGCACCTGTTACCTTCGACAGTCAGATTGTCAACATCTACAACGATATCAACGCCCACTGGCGCCGTGCGTATGCTCAGAAATGGGCCAGTGACAACCCCCTGTGGCATGTCACGCTTGTTTCGATCGCTGGCGGTGGCCTGGATACCGTAGTGCCATCTGACTTCGCCAGTATAGAGTCCTTAGTCCCGGAAACGCACGGATTCACGGTTTTCACCAGTGGCATACCGAGGGTATGGACCAGTATGGACCACCAGGCCATCCTTTGGTGCGATCAATTCAGGAAGGTTGTGGCGCGTGCTTTATACGACGTGATAGACGTTCACAGGCCTTCTCAAACCAGGCCACGAGCCGAACGCATGCGCATCTTCAGGAAATGGTTTCTCACGGGCATGGAGAGCACCACGGAGAAGACGCTTCCTCTGATTGAGCCGACCACATTGCTTACCCTTGAAGACGAGATGAGTACCATCATGCCTCCAGGTCAACGTCTCGTCTTGCGCCGGTTGGGCGAAACTGTAAAACCGCACGCTTACTTGTTGCCTATTCCACTCCAGGGCTCACCTGAGGGTACACGCTTTACTCTACTTGCAGACGGTTTATTAGACGGACCCGGAGAGGACGGGAGGGTGGAAGTGCTATTCTGCAGTGTATCTCCATTGCAGTTTGCGCAGAACTTAGACCTCCCTCGGAGGAGCATCGACCTCTCAGAGGGAGGCAAAGGAGCAACGAAACTGATGTGCAAGAACGCCGCCGCGGACTCGGCTCTGCTGCCGGCGCTGGCTACGCGATCTCGCCTTGATTCAACGCATGAACAACCAAATCAACGACTCTTGTCATACCTGCAGTATGAGATTGAAGATCTTGCAGAGCATCACTTCGTCGCCGTTATAGACAAGGCAGTCAAACGAACCAACGCGTTTGTGGTGGCAGAGTTTAACGACCTGTCGCGTTTCCATAAAGTCCAGGATATCAGCCTGAGCCGGCTACTCGCCTTTGGGATGTCATGGACCTTGCCGACAGGTCGTCCAATGGCGACTGAGATCAGCATACCGATTGTTCGGTCAAGCCTCATCGCCTATAAGCTCGAAATCATGGGACAGCCGTGTACCAACACGCCTAAGATCTTCGCGCCTATTATCCGCCAATATCTCACACAGCCGTACGAGTCGAAATTCTTCACAGATGCGAAATATGCCAGTCTCAGCATACACGGGGTCGCCCCTTTCATTCCGCCTCCTCTTCGGCCCAAGGCTTCTGACAACCAAGGCCTGACCCTTCAGTTTTGGACCGATCCGACTTGCTCGTCGGATCTCGAGGTCAGACTGACAGCAGATGTTCTAGGAAGTTTAGGAAAACTTGTCCTGAGATATCGTACCGTCTTCGTTGCCTTCCCGCTGCTGGTCATGACGCTGGTGCTTCGAAACCAGTTCATGGTATACGACTCACATGGGGTTTTCATCTCCTTTGCTGAGAGCTTGGACTGTTGTTTGAGACGATCGCTGCCCCTGTTCCTTTTTCTTCTCACGATTCTGTCCTTTTCACTGAAAGGGTCCGAGTCCTCGATACTGGGAATCTCGTGGTATTCCTGGTTTTCAGATACCCCGGCCCCAGATTTCCGCAGCAACGACCTCCTTATTGGTACTCAAGACTCATTTTTCTGGTTTTTAGTGCCCCTCATTGGCCTGATATGTACCGGAGTCTGCGCCATTGTTCACTATGCTACTGTTACCCTGGCCCTGCTATTGGGTGTAATGTATGGATGGACCGACTCTATGTTGTTCTGGCGACGACAAGACACCTGGAGAAGGGCTCAGCCCCTAGCATTCGAGCCAACATCGCCCAGGCGGCGAATGTTCACGACTGCAATTCTCATGCTTCTGGTTTCGACGTTCATTCCGTACCAGTTTGCTTACTTGGTGGCGTGTCTCGTCCAGCTCCTCACCACTGCACGCGCCCTCCGAATAGCTACTAATGTGGGCTCTCCGGCGAGCCGCGACTTTTACAACTATACCCATTCGATGCTTCTTCTCATGCTTTGGGTTCTCCCTATTAATTTGCCGACGCTTGCTGTATGGATACGCAACCTTACCATACATTGGTTGACGCCGTTCTCCTCCCACCATAATCTACTCTCCGTCTTTCCATTCATCGTTCTCGTCGAAACTTTGACCACGGGGAGGATGGTTCCCCGTGTTACGGGAACATTCAAACATCTCACGAGTCTTTTTCTGTTTGGCACAGGGATCTCCGCCGCTATATACGGTGTATCGTACGCCTACATGCTCCACCATCTCGTCAACCTGGTGGCGGCTTGGCTTGTGATCATTCACTCTACCTCATGTGAGTGGTCTTTGGTCCGCTTCGGGTCTTTTGGGGACAGATGCAGGCAGAGGAACGGACGTGAAAGTCGGGCCCTTAAATGTAGCAAGGCCCCTTGACGTGGCGGTTGCTATGTTATCATATTCGTGGCTTCACTGCATGCCGAGGCTTGCACCGTGCCATAGGAAAAACAGTTTACGCAGTTCGACTCGTCTGATACTGTTCAAATTAGTATAAATATATCGACAACAAATGCCTATGTTCCCATACATGGGGAATGCCTATGGTTCTGGTGTTCTGACGTAAGGGGATCCTTAAGGTCACTTCTATCAGACAAATTTTGATGACTATGAGTGTCGGTGGTGTTAACAGTTACCTATGGATTAAAGGTAAGTAATAGTGTCGCACGTTAAAATCGCACTTGTATGATTAACTTAATAGAGTAGAAATCTCGTGTGTGTGTATTATAATAAGTTATATCTGTGTGAGTCTCTTATACCCTTAATTTTAGGTGGTAAAGACTCTATTATAGGTACTATATTATTTGGATCCTATCCGGTCTTTTCCGGTATCCGCCCTTATTATATCCTAATACCTAAGGTCCCCGAGATCCGAAGCCCTTAGTTAGGTATAGATCCCCTAAGGACTATATTATAGTCCGTGTGCTTATACGATATACCCCCTTAGTTAAGGTGGGTCTTCCTGGGTTAACTAACTAATTAAAGGCTTTAGTTTAAACGAAAAGCTCTTAACTTTTTTATCGTAAAATTAATAGTTAAGGGAAAACGCCCTTATAAAAAGGCTCTAAATCCGCCCTATTAAACTATTTAATTTAATTCTATCTTAATTAGTTCCTTAATCCTAATTAGTCGGATCTACTTAATTAGATTTAGATCTATCAGATCTACTACGCCCTTAGGGGCTTTTATCGTCGTTACGACTACGGCTTTAGTGTATTTAATCTTTTCGTGTAGTTACTTTAACTACTCGATATAATCCTTTTAATCCGTTAAATTAAGCTATTATTATAGTCTTTTAATCCTTACCTCCGGTAATACCTTTATTAGGCCGTCCGCGATTATATTCTTTATATTAATATACGTGACCTTAAAAAGACCTTACTATACTAACTAGCGCGTTTACTAGTTATAAATATCGATATACCGTAATCTTATTCGTAGACGTTATCCCTTCTTATTAATAAGATTAATAGTCTACTAATTATTATAGTATAGCTATAATTATTATTAATCTAACCGAAGCTTTAAATCCCTTAATATCCGACTAATAAAAAGCGTCTCCTTAGTAGTCTTTACAAGAGCGTGTAGTTCCAACTTTATTAACAATATCGTACCCGTTAGTTACTTACCCGCCTTCTAGTTAATAATTTTGAGGATTGCGGATAAACGAAAGGGACGAAAGTCACGAAAAGCAGTGGAAAAATACATAGTAACAATGGGATTATAATAGTAGGATTTCTGCGCGCGTGTGGATTGTGTAAAAAGCGATAATTAAGAAGAAGAACAAAGGAAGGAAGAACCGAACCGAGGGGACAGGTTAATATCCTTTGTTCTTTCCTTCTTTGTAAAGGAATCGAGATCATAATAATAACGTAATCCTTTGTCTAAGACGTAATCCTTTGTGTAGGACGTAATCCTTTGTCTAGGCTTGCGGGGAAGATGTCCTTTGTTCTAGTACGAAGATACTCGAAGCATATAGATATTATTAGTAATATCTACATCCCCCCGTAAGCTGGTTCTTATATAAGAAGGAGCAGCTTAGAACGAGTATATATAGGTATATAGTTATAACGCAGAAACCCTAGTTAACTAACTGGAACTAATTAAGAGGAAAAAATAAAACCTCTAAGGGAAAATGTTAAAAACCCTTGATTTCTTATTAAAGGGAAAATTCGAAAACCCTCTTTTTATAATACTAGGAAAACCCGTAGGTAAAAAACCTAATTATAAGTATTTATATCTAGGAAAATCCGAAGATAAAAAACCTAGTTCTATTATAGACCTTAGTAATTTAGTTCTTAAATTCGGGTATAAGGTAGTATATCGTAGTTAGGCAGCGTATCGTCTTTATGACCTAAATTCAAATAACCGCATAGTGTATTATGTAAGTCTTTAGGTAGACCTTTAGTCATTATATCGGCTATATTAAATTTGGTATTTATATAAACGACCTTTATTTTGTTATTTTGAAGCTGTTGTCTGCAGTAGTGATACTGACGGTCTATATCCTTTACACGTTTGTGAAATTCAGGATTTTCACAAAGCTTCTTTGCGCTTTCGCTGTCTATGAATATAGTAGGAATCGGTATATTATTATTATTATTATTATTATTATTATACAAACCAAAGTTTATATCAGTAAATAACCGAAGGTTATTTACTAGGTCTGTATATATATTATATATATAGATTCCTTCTTTAGAAGCTTCGGTTAAAGCCATATATTCTGCTTCTGTTGTTGATAAAGCAACGACTTTTTGTTTAGTAGAAGTCCAGCTTATTAAATTATTTACACCTATACAGTAGATGTAACCTGACGTAGAAGTCCTGTCTTCGATTATATCTGAAAAACTAGTATCAGAATAACCGTATATATTAAGGTCTTTTTTATTTGAACAGTTATATAAAAGCCCGATATTAGGAAAAGTATTTATATACGCCCAGATTCGATTTAAAGCTATAGAGTGCTCTGGAGACGGATTACTTATATATCGAGCGCATTTATTAACAGCGTAGGTTATATCTGGTCTAGAGTGTAGTGCTAAATATAATAAAGCACCGATTTCCCGTTGGTATATTTTAATATCGGCTTTTAATGTCTGTTCCTGATTTAGTGTAAGAACCTTTTTATTTATATAACGGGTATCAACGCGTTTAAGGCTTCGTTTATTATATTTATCGAGGATTTTATTCGTATAAGGTAACTAATTTATAGAAAGGGTCTTATTTGACTTATTTATAGTGATTTCGTGTCCTAAAAAGATATATAGTAACCTAGATCTTTAAGAGAGATCTGTTTCGACATTTCAGTAAATAAATACTGTATCGTTGTATACAAAGGGCTTAGTACCACTATATCGTCCACGTGGCATAGTAGTATAGCACGGTCCTTTTTATTCTTATAAAAAGTAAATATACCGTTATCGAAATCAGAGACTAGGTAACCGATTTCGCGGAGTATTTTTACAAAACAGTTATACCAAAGCCGGGGGCTTTGTTTCAAACCGTATAAAGCTTTATTTAGTTTACAAACTAGTTTATTCGAGCCTTCTTTTTCCTCGAAGCCTGTGGGTTATATAGTATAAATCTCGGTATCTATATCGGCGTGAACGAAAGCGTTCTTTACGTCGAATTGTCTAAAATTCCAGCCTAGGGATACGTCTAGTATCAAAGCTAATCTATAGCTTTCAAGTCTGCAGGTGGTAGAAAAGGTTTCTAAATAATTAATACCGAGTACTTGATTAAACCCTTATATACACCAACGTGCTTTATATTTTATAGCCTCGTTTTTATCGTTATATTTAATCTTATATACCCAACGGCCTCCTAAGACGTTTAAGGTATTTATATCCTTATTATTATTATTCTTATTATTATTATATTAAGGCGTATCTTTTATATTTATTCAATCCCAGGTATTTCTGTTTTCAAGGTCTGTTATTTCAGCTACTATAGCTTCTATCCACTTATTCTTATCAGAGCAGTTCATGGCCTGTTTAGAAGTAGCTGGTTCGTATAAAGAATTTACAGTTAGAAGAAAGTGGGGATCTTCTTAAAACTGTAGGTTTCCTAGTATAGTATCTTCAGTTATATATGATAAGCGCTTATTATCATCATACGATATATAATCGTTATCGTTTTCCTTCGAAGATTTAGAAGGGATTTGAATTTCGAACCTGGATTTAAGGCCGTTATTAACCGGGTCGGTTATAGTTATATTATCGGTATTTTCGGCTGGAATAATACCGCCCGCTACTCGAAGACCCTTTCGTCTTTTATTATTATTAATATTATTATTATTATCTTCTTCGGTTTGGATAGACCTAAACGTACGTTTAGTATTATTATAATACTCGCCGAGTAGATAAGACTCGGGGTTGGAAACCAGTTCTGCCTGCGGTATAGTTAAAGTAGGAGACTTATTATTATTTATATAGTTTACAGGGTTATTTTTATTAATTATAGGATCTAAAGAAGAAGTCAGAAACTGATTTTCTAGTATATATACGTCACGATACCAGGTAGTCTTCCTAGATCGAGGATTATATATTGTATAGTTATAATCGTTATAACCTACTAAAGCACCCTAAAGTTCTCGTGAATCCAGTTTCTTTGTTTTCGGGTCGTTATTGTTATAATATACAACAGAACTCCAAACCCGAATATTATTTATATTAGGTTTACGATTTTCTACTAATTCGTAGGGCGTTTTAAAGCCTACTACTAAATTAGGTGTTCTATTATACGTATAAACTACCAAATAACCAGCATCCCCCTAAAGGTATTTAGGTAGGCCTGAGTAGAAAAGAAAATAACGGACTTTTTCTATTATAGTCCTTATAACCCGTTCTATCGAGCCTTAAGTCTTATAGGTATACGGGGGTTTTATATTATGATTTACACCGACGAATAGTCTTTTAAACAAGGCATTCGTAAATTCTTTTCCGCTATCGGTATTAACTTCTTTTATTTTTATATTATACTTATTATTTTCCACGGGGATTTTCCACTCTTTTATAGCATTTATAACACATATTTCTGATTTATCTATAAGCAGTTTTACCTATAGATACCGTGTGGAACGGTCTATTATAAACAGAATCTAACGCTTCCTATTATAGGTTATAGGGTCGATAGGCCCGTATAAATCCATCTAAATCTTTTTAAGGTAGGAAAAATCCTTATATGTATTAATGGATTCTTTATTCGTAAGCGTAGCTGACTTGCTTCTTCTATAGGCTTTATAGCTCTGTATTTCTAGTATATCTTCTTTAGATATGTTTATAGTATCTTTATCTATATATTTTAAAGAAGTGGAGTTAATATAACCTATCCTGCAGTGCCATAGCGGTATATTCTCTTTATTATTTATTATTTTCCGACGGTTATTTCGGTCTCTTTATTCTGTTCTTTGTTCTATAGGTTGTTCTTTTCTTTATTCTACGACCTATGCCCCTGTAGAGTGGGTCTTTAAGTGGGTATTTTCTGAGACGGTATTCTTTATGCCTGAC